AACTTGAAATGATGAAAAACCAAAATCGAATTAAAAATTATGGGGTACAAAATAGTACTATGGATGATGTATTTTTAAAAATAACACGAGATATAAAAAATAATAATGAATTCCATTCAACATCGATCAATATTGATACAATCGGTTTGTAATTAAGTTTTATTTAATTTGAGAAATTCAGTAAACAATGTCTTGACATCTGATAGTGATTACTTGACTATTTTCACAGAGGATTAATTAATTTTTATCATTTTTCTAGACAAACAATGTGATTATGTATTTAATAATCGACATTTTCTTACTGGTATTCGTTATAATTTAAATCAATGTTATGGTTTAATAATAAAAACTTCACTTGTACGTTATCGTCGTTGGGGATTAACATTTATTGTTTTATTATTACCTATTTTATATAATCTTCTATCAAATTTAATATTTTCTAATGAAAATGAAAATGGAATATTTAATATGAATATAAATTCTCTTAATCCACAAACAATTTTATATCATGTAGATCCAATTATAGAAAAATATTTTCGTGCATCGATTGATGGTTCAAAACTTGAACAAGGATCAGCAAATATATTTGAAATGAATCAAAATATTTGGCGTAAATGTTTCTTTTTTATATAATTAAAAATTAAACTAATCTTAAACATTTTATTATTTCTAGAAAAACGAATTGATCGTCCATATACATATACAGATATTTATCTTGGTTTTAATATTCCTAAACCAATTAGAAATAAATATACAATTCAAGTATTATCATCTAATTTAATATCAGGTTATGAAATTGTTTCACTTGCATCAAATACATTCTATAAACATATATTAAATGATACGAGTGCATCAATTCAAACAACACTTATTTATAAAAATATAGGAAATTTTACAGCAAAACCATCTGTTAGTACTTTTATGAATTTATTAAGTACAGCATCATGTTTTCTTAAATTATTACCAACATCACTCATGCTTGATGTGTATGTCATATTAAAAAATTTTAATTTTAATTCTTTGTCTTTTCTTTTGTTTTGTAGATTTATATTTTATATTTTATTCTTTTATACAACTGTATTTTTAATCAGTGAACGAAAAGATAGCTTTTTATCATTATTGAATATCAGTGGTCTACAGTAAGTGAAATTTCAGATTATTTTTTTGTTACTATGTAGCAAACGAGTGTTAGTGTTATCGTCAGGATCCATCGAAACTTTCTTTAGTTACAGGAAAACTAACATTTTTGACTAATGTAATGATAGTCTAGTCTAGTGTCATGTATGTGATCTCGACGTTTTAAAATATTTTTACTTTTTTGCACTGACCTACGTATGAACAAAATATCAGTTCAATTGATAAATCACATTTGAAGACGTTCTCTCTTCTCATATCGAACGAAGTAGTTTCTATTCAAGTTGATTAATGGTTAATAATAAAATATATTTAATTAATGTATTTTATATTCTAGTCCAGCATCATATTGGCTATTTAGTTATCTATTTGATATAATTATTTCAGTTATATGGTTTTGTTATTTACTTGCTATTTATTGTATATTTGATATTACTTTTAATGGTATACCAAATAAGAAACCTCAATTAGAAACTATGATTCCACTTGAATTTGCTAGTCCATGGAATTTACGAGTACAATTTTATCCATTAACAATTTTAATTGCATTACCAACATTACCATTTGTTTATTTATTAACAAAATTTTTCCGAAGTGATATTCTTGTATGTATGTTTATTTTTCTTTTTCAGAATTTTCGACTGAATAGATCCTTTCATAGAATATAAAACATTACTATTTTCTTGTTTTAGTTTTCTAACTAATTTTTTGATAGCTGATAAATCCAAAGATATGAGAAGAACTAGGGTATTTGGTTTAAAAAAAAAACTTCTTAGGTTTTTTCTAATCTTAGCAAACCTACTTAATGAAGTAAAATGTATCGAGCAAGCGATCAAATCACTTAATGCGATTCCTTCATTATTAATGAAATGTTTTTTTTTTTATTTATGATTTTAATTTTTTTTAGGGTGGTATAACAATATGTTTTCTATTAATAATTTTTCATTTTATAAGTATTATCATTCCAATAGTAACAATGCTTATTCGAAATATATCTATTCAAAAATTTGTATATTGGTTATTTAATGTTATATCACCAACTATAAATGCACAAGTTATAATAACATATCTTTTAGCAAAAAAAAGTCGATTATGTAGATTTATTACTGATCCATTGGGTTTAGGTATTCCTGCATTTAAACTTTTTACAGCAATTGGTGATGATACAATTGGATGGAATGTTGGAATACTTGTTTTACATATATTATTATTCTTATTAATATTAATTATAATTGATAGTGGTTTATTACAATTTTCATTGTCATGTTTATATAAATCAAATTTTAATGAAAATCAACTTGATGATGATGTTTTAGCTGAACGTCATCGAGTATTAAAAAATGAAAAAAATTCATCTAATAATGACGAACATGCTGATCATTTAACAGTTAATAATCTTGTTAAATATTATCCAATACGTAAAGTTTTAGCTGTTAATCATTTAACATTTGGTGCACGTCGTGGTGAAGCATTTGGATTACTTGGTTATAATGTAAGTATGAAAAGAATTTTCAAATAAAAAAAGACAAATATTTGTAATGAATTTACATAGGGTGCTGGAAAAACAACAACATTTCGTATTGTTGTTGGTGATTTAATGTCAACACAAGGCACAGCTTATATTGATGGACAAAATGTTCATCGTCGAATAAGATCAACACGTCATTTAGGTTATTGTCCACAAGAAAATTGTAGTATGAATTATCTTACTGTTCAAGATAGTCTTTATTTATTAGCACGTATACGTGGTGTTCAACATTCACGTATAAAATTAATTGTTGATACAATAAGTTCATTATTTTTACTTGATCCATTTTTAAATAATTATATACATGAATTAAGTGGTGGAACAAAACGTCGATTACATACTGCTATAGCATTAATTGGTAAGAATAGATTAAAATCAAAAGAGATGATATGGTTGTTGTTGTTTTTCTTTTTCATTTAGGACCTCCATTAGTTGCTATTCTTGATGAACCGACGACGGGTGTTGATCCAAATGCACGACAACAAATGCAAGAAATATTTTTAAATGCTGTTAAAGCTAAATTAACTATTATTTTAACTAGTCATTCAATGGATGAATGGTAAAAAGAAAATTCATAAAATGAATTAATATGTCAATGAACTTTGTTGTATCACAAATAGTTCGAGTATAAAAATAACTAGCGATTTATGGTTTTCAGTATTCGAAAAGAGAACAAATAACTTTTTCAATCTATGTGTAAATTGAACTGTCAAGTAGTGGTTAGTTTTCAGTGGTCATTGCGGTAACGATGCTTTTGGAAATCGTCCCATTACATCTTGACTTTGAAGATAGTTGTTCGATAGAGAAAATGAAAATCTCTCGTATTCAGCCACTGGTCTACTGGTCAATTTGAAATGAATTGATATAGAGTTTCAAAATCGTTAGATTTAGTTAAGTATTACGTGAGAACAACAGATTTTATAATATCGATTTGATTACTTTGGATTACTTTGAAAAAGGAATATCAGCATGAGCAACACCTTCTATATCAATTTGTTTCAAATTGACCAGTGGTCTATTGGCCGATTTCGAGTGTTTTACAAAAATTTTTATAACTTGGCAACAGAACCCTCTAGAGAGAATGGCATTAATATTCTTTATCAAATGAATATTTTAAAAGTTTTTGTGACACGATCAGGTTCATTGACTTTTTGAATTGATAATAGAATGTTTTTTTTTCTTTATTTTAGTGAACGTGTTTGTAATCGTCTTGGTATTATGGTTCATGGTCAATTAGCTTGTTTAGGTACAATACAACATTTGAAATCAAAATTTGGTCAAGGTTATACAATTGAAATAAAAGTTCGTTCAACAGACAATGATATAAATGCAATAACAATACAAAATGTTCAATCATTTTTATTATCTCAAGAACAATATCATGTTGAAGTAAAAGAAACAACACAATCAACTGGTTTATTTCAAATTGTAGGTAGTACACCAGCAGAATTATTTCAGTTACTTGAAGAAAATAAGCAAAGATTAAATATTGAAACATATACAATATCACAAACAACACTTGAACAGATATTTTTGTCATTTGGAAAACGAATTCGTGCGACGACTGACTAAAATATTGTATCCATATTCAAAAAAAAAAATTTTTTTTCGTCGTTTATATATATTTTTCGTGCAATATTATTTAAGTTTTTTCTAAATAAAGCTAATTCATAATCAATAACATGACTTGAAATCATATCTAATCAATGATAACGAGCAAAAGGAGATCTTTGTAAGACTACGAAAATCCTTGAAGGATTCATACCCATAAGTATCTGAAGCGACAAAAGAGTATTCTTTTCAGCGAAAACTTTCAGCATATTTGAGAAACCATCCGACCTATTTTTGAAGTTTCAGTCTTGTATTACCGAGATCTTCTTATAAATTCCATAAGAGCTCAAACAAAATTGAACAAACATTTTGTTTAAAACTTATGCTGATGAGCTTGCTCTTTACATATTTAAACTAAAAACTCAGCTATACACTAACTACAATTATTTGAAGCACTTAAAATTATTTATCCGCTTCGAGTTCGGTTCACTCTCAGTCTATGTTTTAAATTCTTTAATACATTGTGATAAAGTGTACTAAGATCTTCATGAATCGATCTAGCTAGATGTAGTTCATCCGAAATATCCCAATAAAAATGCATAAATACACGAGGTTCGCGTAAATCTAGTTCGTAAGTCAGATGCATAGTAATAGATGACATCTTTGTAAAACATTTTTTATTGCCTCCGTATCTTTCTGTCGCCTACCCACTCATACAAAGACGATAACAGAAAGAAAAAAGAAAATATTTTTTTGTTATTTTGCCGATTTTATCAGAAAAAAAAAGATGTCAACATCCGTAACTGAGTCAAGTTGGAGTATTAAGATCGTCAATGAAAATGATCTAGTTGATTTATTACCTTTAATGCAAGCTTATTGTAAATTTTATAATGAAACTGAACAAATTCCTATAATCAATGACGATGCTCTTATGTCTTTATCTCGTGCACTTATAGCTAATCCAACTCATGAAGGTATTCAACTTATTGTTCGTGATTGTAAAGAACAAGCACCTGTTGGTTTTGCAACTATATTCTGGAGTTGGTCTACATTACAAGGTGGTCGTATTGCAATTATGAATGATCTTTATGTTTATGAACAATATCGTGGTCAAGGTGTTGCTGATATTCTTATAAAGGAATGTGCACGATACGCACGTGAACATGGTGCTGTATGTCTAACATGGGAAACTTCAATAGATAATAAACGTGCTCAAGCTGTATATAATAAAAGTGGAGCAGTGAAAAGTCATCGATGGCTACATTATACGCTTGCTTTGTAAAGTTTTGTAGGCACTGATTTTATTTATTGATTATATTCCTAATAAAAATGAGTAATCTTTGTTTATTAATTAAAAAGGAAAAATAAATCCCATATTTGATCGAATAAATTTATATGTATTCAATTTTTTCGTTTTTCATTTCATCAATAAAAAAAAAAAAATATGAATTCTGCAAATTGTAGAAAATTATTCTATTTATATTATGAATTTAGCACGGTGTTTACAATTTTTAACAGTATTTTTACTTGTTACTATTTTTCTATTTTCACCTATTGTTACGTTTATTACATTTATTCTTTTATCATGGTTTTGGTCTTTACCTATGACTCTTATGATATTTTTTATTTATGGTTGTTGGGTGTATTTTGATCGTCACACAGATTCACAAGGAGGTCGATGGTCTAATCGAATTCGTCGATTGTCTATTTTTACACAATTTGTGAATTATTTTCCTCTTAAATTAATTAAAAGTGAAGATCTTGATCCAAATCGAAATTATATATTTGGTTTTCATCCACATGGAGCATTTTCTCTAAGTGCATTGGGTAATTTTGGTACAGATGTTACATATTTTTCAACTCTTTTTCCAAATATTCGATCACATTTAATGCTTCTTCATCTTCAATTTCTATGTCCATTTACACGTGAACTATTTCTTAATTTAGGCAAATGAATATTGCATATGTATAATTGAAAAAACCTAATTTCGAATTGTTTAGGTGCATGTTGTGTATCAAAGGATAGTTGTGAATATTTGTTAAGTGGAAAATCTGGCCAAGGTCATGCCTTAGTCATCATTATCGGTGGTGCACGTGAGATGTATCTTACAAGAAATGATACTATGATATTGTATTTAAAGACTCGAAAAGGTTTTGTTAGACTAGCATTGAAACATGGGTAAGATTGATTCTTTAGAGATTAATAAACCAAATAATAGTTTTCTATCTTTAGTGCTTCATTAGTACCTGTGATTTCATTTGGAGAAAATGAACTTTATCAACGACATGCTTTTTTTAATTTGATTCCCAATGGTATAGCTTGGGGTCGATTTCTTGTTGGACATGTACCACTTCGACGTCCTGTAGTTACTGTTGGTAAGATATAACTAATATTTTTATTCATATATAAAGCAAAACAATCTATTTCTACATAGTTGGTAAACCGATTCATGTTCAACAAAAGGTTAATCCAACTTCTGAAGATATCGATCAACTTCATCATCAATATATTCAATCTGTAGAAGAACTTTTCGAAGTGAACAAACATAAATATAGATTAGAACATGTAAAACTCGAAATTGTTTAGCTAAAGAAAAGAACATATATGAGATAAATGTATATCAAAGAATGAAGTAATCAATAAATGATGAGAATAGCTATAGTTGTAGAAAATAAACTCTAATGGCAAACACCAATGCACCTTCAATTCGTTTATATGTATCAAACATCATTTTTCTCTGGTGATCACCTTGTTTCAACGATCTTGGCATAATTGTTTTTGTACAACTCCTCATTTGAAAAATCAATGTCGTAGCTATCTTTAATCTGAATTTTGTTAGAAATCACTTTGAAATAACTGAAATATTATTTTCTCATTAAGAATGTCTATTGAAGCAAGTTCTGAATGTAGTCAAATTAATGTTACAACATAGATTCGCTATCACAGGACATGCTAATTACTAGAGTGTTGTCTATGTTTCATAGACTTTAGTAATAATAAAGTATGCATATGGGACTACCTTTAGCTCGTTGAAACTATTACTCTTATATGCAAATTAGAATTCTATGTGGATTTACCATTTGGAACCAGAAAATATTTTTCGTCTGTTTAAACTACATTATCTATTATCTTTGAATATGGTTATTCGATAAACACTTAAATTTTATAAGGGTACAGAATATAAACCAAACTGAAACTTAGATATATATTATTGAATAATCATAGTATTATGCCAGTGTGTAAGATATCAAGTGTTATGCTTTTAACTTTATTAAGAAACTATAATAGTATAGCAATCATCTTTATTAATTACTAGCAAACGATGACCTCTGTGTTCTTTTATAGAGATTTTCTACAAAAAAGTATAATGAATAAAACGCTTGCTCACAGTTATATCCTTGTAGTAGAGCATGCTGCAATGAAAACTATTTTCTCTGTTCATCCGAGAACATGTCTACCTATATGGATAATATGAACCGACAGCTTTATAAAATATTGATTTTTACATCAGTCTTGAAAGAAAACATAAAAAACGATAGATTGCGTTCGGCAAAATAAACTTGATAATTTTCAAAGTTCAATTGATATCCGTCAGCGAGTCGGATTAAATTTCAGGGTTCTAATGCAGATTGATGCAATCAATAGTTAATTGAATACATATGAATGTATTAATAGGATTACTCAACACGTAAATATTCGTTTGATTTTTATTTTCATTATACAATATTTAATTTTTTTTTTGATTAGTAACATAAAGTATTAATAAATTTTACTTGCAAAAGTTAAGCTATTCATTTCAATATTTTTATCCGATTTAATAGTGACTCAATTTCATTTTATTCTTCTTTGATTTCTTTTTCCATCCATGTTTTTAAAAAATATTTTGTTTAACGTAAGTGTTATATATTAAATTATTGAATTATTAATAGTTATTTTTTCTTGTCACTAGCATCATATTTTCATCGAATATCACATATCTACTTATTGCTACTTCAATTATTTTACTTTGTCTATGTAAATATTTTATTTTATTATTCTTAGTATTAGTCTTTAGTATAGTTGTTGACTCTTTTATTGATTGTCATAGTGACTCCAAATTGAAATAATATATTTGATTTGTATTGACATAGAAGATTTGTTTTGTATTGTTGAGGTACTTATGCTACATTTGCTTTGTGACTTTCAGTTTTTATTCTCATTTATAATTGATCTGTTTGTTAACTTACGTGAATAATTAACATTCATGATCGAACATACATACTGTTTGCTTTCTAGATACTTGCTGTGTATCGGATGAATGTTTTAGATACCTACTGAGTAGAAAATATGATCGAAGCAATCCATTAATTATTGTTCTTCGTGAAGTTCATACAACATGAAATGATACTATATGATATTCGATTAGCATTAAAATAGCGTTCGATTTTGTTTTTTTTTTTGAAGATCAATAAACATTTTTTGTTAGTGTTTGAGTATTTTCTTTGGAAAAAAAATCTTTTCTCCAACATGCATTTGTTTTTATTTGATTCTCGATAGTCGATTTATTATTGGCCACATACAGCTAAGATATCCTGTGGTCATTTTTGATAAGATATAACTGTCAATCTTAGCTTTATATAAACTATAACACTTTGATTTTTTAGTCAGAAAATCAATTCATATCGAAGAAAATATTAATTCAATTTCTGACGATATCAAACAAGTGTATAATAAATACACATAATTATATTCAATCAAGAAACTGTATAATGATAACAAGTACAAATTATTATTTAGAACACGTTGAACTGGAAATCATTCCGATAATGTAATCATTAACAATAAAAACGATAGATTCTTGTTTAAAGAACCATCAATCAATTATCGATCAATAATAAGAATGATGACATTGAACAACTTGCACAGCATAAGCTATTAGACTCATATGCCGGCTAACATCCATTCACACTATGACATAATATATATATATATAGTTGATTGAGCTTTTTTTCTCTATGTGTACATATAAATATGGATAAAATGACTGAGCTCTTTGAGCTGAATATACGCGTGTGGTGTATAGTTGACACACCAATGATCCAAGGTCTATATACAACATACGCAATCATTGTCAAATATAATGAGGAGAACAAAAGTAGGATATCATATCTCGTTTTCTCACATATTGTCCTATCTTACAGTTCGTATTTATTTTTAATGTACTAGATCATTACCCGCTTTTCTCTTTCATTATTGATAATAGACTGGTTAACTAAAAGTATGTTACATCATGCTCATTTGCACCTCATAGAGACTAAATCAATTCTTGCAGCAGTAACTGAACCCTTGATAACAATAGATTAATATATATATATCGATTATGGTTGAAGGCAAAAAAAACCGAGAAAAGAAAAACTTTGTTTGTGTGTTATCTCATCATTGCCGTTAGTTATATATCATTGTGCCAAAACTTATATCTTTATATGAATATATATATATATTATTTCGTTAAACGTTAAGAATAAACAAACAAACAAACAAACAACCCCACACGTACACACAATTAAAGTTTATAAAATGATTATGAAAAACTAAAAAAAAAAAAATTCATGTCAACTCACACATCGGTTGTTGTACCAGTTTCACTTGTTGATTCTATTCTATTTGCTTTTAAATTATCATAAGCATCATCAGTTGGAAATGGTCGATTTTTATTATCTTGATCATAGAATTTTTTCTTTTTCATTAATATAATATGTTTATAAATATAAAGTATAATTATCATAAATAAAATAAGAATAAAAGTAAATACTATAAGTATAATAATTGTTCGAAGTATATCATTAAATAATGAACGTTGTTGATGAATAATTATTGTTTTATTATCATTTAATTGTTTTGAATAAAAATATTTTTTAAGAAAATATTCTTTCCATTCATTTTCATTATCTGTTATAATTGTATCATTATCATTTGTATCTAATGGAGGTGATTCAATATTAACTTTAGCAGAAAAAAGTACAATATTATCATTTTGTTCTTTTTTTGTTTGATTATTTAATGTAATTAATGATGATTCTGATTTATATAAAATACAATCATAATCAATAATTAAATGTTGTGAATAACTTTTAGTTTTTTCTAACCATGAACATGTTGATGAATCCATAAGAATACATCGTATAGATATTGAACATGTACGATGATTATTACAAGATAGATAATATTTATTAAGACGTTTTTGACATTCACTTCTTGAACAACCATTACCTGTATAAAAAATAGCTGAACGTAATTTAATAACAAAATTTAATGGACATGTTAGAAGATGATTTGTATTATTTATTGTCTTCTCATTTGAACAACAACTTTCAAATTCATAATTCCATGATGGTGTTATATGAATAAAAAAAAAAATAAAAAAATAAAATAATATTCGTTTAATCATTTGATTTTTTTAATAAACATCTACAATGAATATAAATATCTTGTTTCAATAAAATAAACTTGAAGATTGTTGTATAGAATATATAATACATACGTGAAAATGTTGAAGTAAAGAAGTCTTTCGTTCTTTTATTTTCTTTTCTTTTCATATATATATATATATATTTATTTGAATTTATTCAAGTGTCTATTCTGCATGTGAGTATCCGCATAATTCTCTCGTCTTTCATAAGATGAACATTTGATGGGGATCAGTTCTCTGCTCTTATTCGTTATGATGAACGGTAACAAACACAATTGTATATTTTTCTCGTTCTTTTTCTCGCATGGTATTGCATATATGGTAACAACAACAATACCAGCAGTATAGTATCCAGAGATTAAATGATCTCTCTTTCTCTTTTCTTTCTTTTTGTTCTATGGATTGGTGATAGGTGTATGTATATATATATAGACTGTTGCTGATAGAGCTTCTTTTCTTGATTATATGAACACTACGGCCATGCGCCTGACAACCCTTTTTATATGTATATTCAACATACGGTACTTTTTTTTTTACTGATGGGCATTCAAGGTTATGGCCGTGAGCATGTTTATTCTTATAAAGTGTTGATTATACTGAAAGAAAAAAAAACAAGCTCAATCATCATCGTCATCATTCATCAATATGTGCAGTCATTGTATCGATGACTGCACTATGTCTATTATACATTCAAGTTCTATTTAATAATAGAATGACATATACATGTGTTTCCGTTGTTACGATAGATGATGTCAAAATGATAAATCTCGATTCTATTATGATTGATTTATGTTAACTTTGTTCTTATTATTATCATTAACTTTCTTTTTTTTGTATATATATTGTCTTAAGAAGGTTATAAAATAAGAAGACGATTATTATCTCATAATGAACATTATCAAAGCAATGCTAACAAGCTCATCATTTTTTCTCTCTAGTTCTTTATCAGAATGACTAAAAGATATCAAAACATTGCAGATAAAGAATGTGTTATCGAGATAGCATATATTAATCGTTTAGACATCTTACGTCATTTCATTTTTTATTTATTTATGCCAATCACATTTACTATTTTCATGGTCAATGAACAAAGAAAAGACAAGCATTTTGCTAAAACTTTTTTTCATTATTTATCAATACAAAACAGAAGACGAAAAGAGAAATAGTTTTTTGACTTTTCATCTGAATTGTTTTTGCCTATGCAAAAATTTATGAAAGAATATTAATGAAAAATTGAACAAAAATTTTTTCTGCATTATCGTCAGAGAGAATTTATACGAGGGCCGTTCAAAAAGTATCCGGACTGATTTTAATTAAAAACAATAAGAAGCGCTGCTGTATTTGTATTATTGTCTGTGCGTAGTTCATAGAGTCCTCTATCCATAGACATGATAAGCCCTGTTGGATTAAACGTATATATGAAAATATAGAAATACATGTTAGACCACCGTTTATATACTGACTAAAATTAAAAACTTGAGCAAAGTTTTATGTTTTGAAAGGCTAGTTTCCATCCAATATTTATGAATATATAGTGACAGTTTACAGTGGTAATGCTCTATTACATACTAGGATATTTGAATGGGCTCGTCGTTTTAAAGGCGAATAACTAACTATTAATGGTAGTTTTAGATATGGTCGATACATCATTAACATTATATCTGAGAATGTGCTATTTCCTTGAACTGACTTTAGTCATATATAATTGATCAAGTAAAATGCTATATACTGTACATTTGAAATGTGAACAGCGTCTGTTATTTACTCAGTTGCGATTCGATTATCTCAGATCATCAGGCTTCTAGAAGTTTTAATAGTTATGTTATTCAAATCTAGATTATTATCAATATATGGTAGTCCATCTTTGAAACAACAATCCTATTCAGAAGCTGTAGTGATCGATAAAGAATTGATCGTTATAAACTATCACTGTACGTCCATATATATTATCACTGTACCTTCATAAATATTAAACGAATCATAGTCTTATAAAACAAGAAAATTCATCACTGAGCGATGCTCAAAATTTTTGATTTTTCTGTCAGTGTATAAACAATGGCCTCAAATGTATTTCTATATTTTCATATATACGTTTAATTCAACAGAGTTTATCATGCCTATGGATAGAGGACTCTATGAACTACGCACAGACAATAATACAAATACAGCAGCGCTTCTTATTGTTTTTAAATAAAATCAGTCCGGATACTTTTTGAACGCGCTACGTAAGATATGATATCTATAACTCTCAAGGATCTTCAGTTCGAGTAATTATATTCTTCTCTGATATACATAAGAAACATATAACCTTCTAGCTTGTTGTCAGATGATGAGTTAGCTTGTATCATTTTAGCCTACAACATTATTGTCCTATCTCAGTAATTCGATATCGATTGAGAATTATTTATTTGTTACTTTCATTACATCCTTCGAAACACTTTAAACTAGATAATACTAATAATACTATTTTTTTATTAATGGATTATTCTCCTATGTGTATACAAAAAAAGGAAAATAACTCATTGATCAGGTGAAACAAACGATTGCATAACTGTCACAGATCAACACTCAATATTTGAAAGAACTTATATATCTCCGTTGTTCATATGCTTGAGATGTACAGAACTCAATATGTGTTCATATCACATGACTTTCTTTTCATAGACAAGCACTTAAATGTTTATATGAGTTATGTGCACATGCAAAAGTAGTTCATACGCTGAACTCATGAAAATTATGCGAAAGAGCCTACTTGAAAGAGTCAAATGGAATAAAATAATAACAGCTTTTTTACTCAAGATGAAAGAATGATTATTGTCATTGAGGATGCATGAATCTACTTCTTATATAGATTCTTTTTTTTGACTTCTTCGTTAGAGACTTTGTTATTTATGCGATGAATTTTCATTATGAACCAAATCGTGTCTAATGTAAAACTGAAGAAAAAAAAACGAAAAGCATACATAAAATATGATTAATATCCTAGCAAGGATGGCGAATCTTTATCATTAATTTGTTTAGCTCTTTATGTTTTTCATACAATATTTCGTTAGTGATCTTCCTTATACTTGCTTGAACTGCAATTCCTAAGCTAAGACTTTTTGTCAATGTTTTATTATAACATATATTGTATTTTCGAAGAAATCAACTGTGCTACTCGACGTCTTACAACAAAAATGCATTTAACAACATTAGAAAAATTGTACCAATAGCAATCTACCTAATGATGAACGTAAATAATTAATTGATTCTATTATCAATATTAAACCTCGATAAATTAATTTAATTAACTATTAAAGAAAATATATAATATCTCAGTTTTCTCGAGAAAATTTTTCTTGGAAAAATGTGATATCTACTCCTGAATGACTTAATCAAGACCGATTTACATAGAACTATTAAACTCTTTAGTAAAAACGCATAGATGCGATTTCACTTATGGTAATATTTCATGTTGTACAGAATTCCATACTCCAAAAATATATTCGGAAATAGCGAAAAATTCTCATTTGAATAATTTTTATAATGTGCGCAGCCTCTCTTGTATTCAGAATATTTTTCTAAAAGATCGTTTGACATTCGCTTAGCAAGCATATTGATCAAAGTGATTCATTAGTTTTGAACTGATAATTTATACTCATAGAGAGGATCTCTAGGCTAGAACAACTTCAAAATCATTCAATCATATAAGACTTCTTTATAGACTAATCAAAGTTTTACTCATGAAAGCTACTAACACAATTTTCCTTGAGTCATTTTTTTTACTGATGTTGTACTTTTCTAAATACGTGTTTTCATTTAGTGTTATTGCATGTTCTACTAATAGAAAATTTATCTCCTCTTTGTATAGAAATACTAAGAAATTAAGCTAATACCTCTGATTCCGAAACAGATTTTTATTTTTAAATTTTCATCACACACGAACAATATATATGAGTATCCAGAAAACATTCCAATATAAAAAGACGAATACTCAATGGTCATACTCAGATCCTAGTATGTCTACGCAAGATCTGTGAGTATTTCGTCACCAGATACATGCACTGGAAAATGTTAATCAATTTCATTTGATGAGAAGATTCTGATAAAACTATGAAACGTTTCTAAAGAATGATGTATTTTTAACGAACAATAAATGGTGTTATGCAAGAAAATGTGAGTTTTTTTTACAACTATTTCCATTATGGTATGAAAAAATTCTTTCATATATATGGTTCAATACTCTATATTAGAAAAACTCACAATGCAGAAATTACTGAAAAACATTCTGCAAAACGGCTAAAACAATTGCAAAACTTTTAATGTAAAAGTCATCCCTTTTCTTTTCATTGTTTGATTTTCTAGAATGTTTATGATTACAGTCGTACATCCAAATCATTGAGCCTTCTGACATCATTTTCTTTTTCTATTGAAGTCTGACACATGTACTATTGTCATAGTAACTACAGAGGATCAAAAAAAAATCATCATAGCACATTTCTTTTTTTTTGTTATTTATCAACTCTGTCGTCAAGGACAGAACAGAACACAAAAAACAGGTTAAATATTTTAATATGGAATTGTTGCTGACATAAGCATTAATAAAATGTCTTTGTTACGTGTAAAAGTTCAACTAGGCAATGAAGCAAGCAATAATCAGCGTCAAAATCCAATTCCAATACTCAAATTTGTCTATGTTATTGAATCACCAACAAATAAAACTATTAATGAACTTATACAATTATTACAAAAATATATAAATGAACAATTTTATAATAATATACAAATAGTTCAATTAACAACTAACGATGGTTTTATTCTATCAAAATCTGACATATGTTCAACTGTACTTAAAGATAATGAACATATTATTTGTATTGATTTGCAAACATTTACAAACGAAAATTATTCAACAATTGATTTTGATAATTTATGGTTCGAACTTAAACAACATGATGCTAGTGATAATGAAGAAAAGTGTATTCAAATTGGTCTTAATT